TGCTAGCAGGGGTTTCTGTGGCTTCTCTTGCTGCCAAGGTCTGTTTGCGTCCATGTGGCTTGTCTTCTGCGGTGTCTCCCAGGGAGTGGCAGAGAGAGGTGTCTTCTGCCTCCAAGGAGGAAGTACCAGATTTCCCAGGATTCTCAGGAGAAGGCCATGCCCTCACACAGAAGTCTCATTGGCTATCTCCAGATTGACAGCCTAGACTCCACCCCTACACTCTTAATACTTAAATTGACACCAGATTAGGTGACTACCACAATTATACAGCAGTGGATTTGGTTTTAATTAGTCATTGGAACTGTACATTTTATATCCTGTGATTGGTAAGCCTTTTCAAAATTCTAGGAGAAAGCTGAGAAAGGTTGTGTCTCTTGAATGCTAATCTTTTTACAAAGACACTGCTTTAAAGCAATGCACAACCCACACAGGCACTGTTTTAGTGCTCTTAGAACTATTGATCGAGAGCTCTTGAACTAGGTCAGAAAAAACACCTCCAGCCTGTGACCTTGAAGGGCCACTGCCATCACAGCTGTTTTCGGGTGTTGGCAAAACACACTCTTCGCTTCACCTGATGATTCCGAAGAACCGATGGGATATCAGGGCAGAGCAACACATTTTCCTAAAGTGAAATGAAGCTTGAAAAAATAGATTAGTTGAATCTTGGAGGACACAAAGTTCAAAAGAGAGACTTTATGACATTCATTCTCATATCTTTATCGTGAATGAGAAATACTAAACTATCGGGGTTTGAATTCATGGATGACAGTCATGATTCTCCATTCTGAACTGTGTAAGTTTCAGTTAGTTATGTTGTTATATACGTAGTGCAAGCAAGTAATGGTTTTGTTCATGTTCATTTTCTTTTTATCCTTGCTGCACATACAGTCAATCCGTTTGATCAGCAAGAGTTTTTCTCTGTTTGTTGATTGAAAAAAATTGGACATGAGTGCTGTAAACATTTCAAAGGACAAAAGCAAATCAACCAAGCTCCTGACATTGAATTGATGCTGACTCATAGTGACTATATCGTGTAGAGTAGAACTGCGCCTGTGGGTTTCTGAAGCTACAGCTCTTAGGGAGCAGAAAGCTGCATTTTTCTCCCTTGGAGTGGCTGGTGGATTTGCCCGGCCCACCTGCGGTTAGCTGTCTACCATGTTACCAGGGCTCCTCATGATACAGAATTATTTTTCAAGAAAGAATTAATTAATGACCCCACTCCTGGAGGTAATGATTGTTAACTAGTTGGCATGAGTCCTTTTAAACATTTTTTTGGTGTGTATCTCTAACCACACCCCTGGCTTGTACATACACATACACAGATGGTATTCTGCACCTTAGTAAAAACATTTTAAAAACAAATAAATTAGTTGTGTTTTAAGTACTTCATTACCTTTAACACACCATGTGCCTCCAAACAAAAAGAACTACATAGTTATTGTCTTGGGTGTGTACTAGCTGTCTTTTTAAGTATGCTTTTTTTCTTCATTAAGAAAGAAACGAGGAGCTGATACCAAGGACTCACATAGAATGAAAATGTTTTGAGAATGATGATGGCAACAAATGTACAAATGTGCTCGACACAATGGATGTATGTATGCATTGTGATAAGAGTTGTACGAGCCCCCAGTAAAATGATTTTAAAAAGAAGAAAAAAAAAGAAATGGCTACTAAGGAAAACCCAATTGCATGGATGAGAAAACAACCCCAAGTTTAATTTTCTTATCTGGCAGTCAGTTATGCAAAGGCAGGAAATTAATATTGAGAGTGCTGTGGCACGCTTTCCTAATCATGTTGGAGAAATAGCCATCTGGAATCGTCAGCCAGCCTTTCGTCTCGTCTAACATCACATTCAAGGTCTGCACTGGGCTGCATCATTGTTGCTCGGACATCACATTCAAGGTCTGCTGTGGGCTGCATCACTGTTGCTCAGAAAGCACGCGGGGAAGAGGCCAAGCTTGCTTTTCCCACATGGGTGGTGTCGGTTACAACCTTGTCTGAATTCAGGATGACCTTGTTGTCTTTAGACCTTGCCCTCAATCAATACCGGGCTACCTGGACTGCTCTGATCTAAGCACAGTATTGAATGGCGATCTCTACTTTTTGAAAGTGCCTTTGCTCACTGAACTGAGATGACTGTCCAATACCCCACCTTAAAAAGATTTTTTTAAATAGACTCAAACGTTTTAAATGAACTAGGAAACAAAAGTAGGTTGAGAACCTTTGTTTACTTTTTTCTCCAGAAACCATTCTAAAACAACGTTAAGCTGATTTAAAAATACACACACACACACACACACACACACACACACACACACACCCCACACCCCCACACACCACAGACCATCACACACACAGACCATCACACACCACAGACCATCACACACACAGACCTGCACACACACAGACCATCACACA